AAAATATTATAAAATATTATATGTACTTTTCATTAACCTGTGTATTTTTACATCAGTTATTTTAAGAATATTCTTTAGGGGCAGGAGCAAAGCTTTCAGGGTAATACTCTGCTGAGAAATCAGTAAAATCTGTAGTGATTCAAGTTAGGATTAAAAAATGTAGACTTCTGTTGTACCAGCAATCCGCTGCCATTGATTCTACAGATCTCTGATTTTACCTGTATGGTTAAAACGATATCCAGCTCAGTATCGTAGGAGAACTGAGTGGTCTGTGCGCTCTTGCTTTGTATTACTGAACTCAGTAAACTGCTGATGTATTTTATCAAGAATGAATTGATAAATTGGGTCCATACATCCAAAAAATGTTCTAAACCTGATGTGAATGTATTAAGCAGAATGACTGGGAGCTCAGTGAGGGAGTACCATGCAAATATTCGTTTGGCAGGCCTGAAGCCATGAGCACACATGGCTTGAATGGCAGGTCCTGCGTGGGAACATGCGATACCCTTGGGTGTGCGCAGGTGAGGGGTTATTGCTCGCTGGTCAGTGCTCAGTGTGTGAGGTCCACCACAGTGCTATGCATTGCTGTGTGTGTTGTATTTCTGCTGTACAGGGGACATGATTGTTACTGAATTGTGGAATAGTTTACATCAAGAAAAAGATGTATTTTTCCCAGGGCATTTCCAGTTGCATTTTATGATGCTTACCACAGCGTGGAGAGATTCAATTTCGATCTGCATATGGTGCCACTGCCGTCTCGCTTCACAGAGTTCCGCTCTGGCTGCCTTTAATGCTTCTGCATCTTTGTCCATTCTTTTACTTGTAGCTTCTTCCTTCTACAAGGGATATAAAAAAGATAAACAATATTTGAAAAATAGTCAAATAACAAAAATAAAATAGATATATAAAAGTTGCTAGTTGAATTTTTTTTAGAGTCACATATAGAGTCATGTTAAAGCTAACAGTGATGAGTTACTGTTTTAGGTACCATGTGGATGGGAAGCCCTTATCCTGGTATGTTTGATTGGAGGTAGCTGGACGCACCTTTATCCCTCACATTTTTGTTGTAGAGGACTTCCCAGACAAATTCACCAGTTGTGTTTAGACCTTATTCACCTCCAGAGTAAATGGGCTTAGTTTAATGGACATTGGAGGAATTGCAGTCAGTTCCTTTTTCCAGGTTTGAATAAAGTTCTTTGTTTTTATTGTATTTTTTTATTTCTAAGAAAGGCTTGATAGGGAGGGAGCACTTTTGAGTGACTGCATAAAAATATCACAACTGACAAGTGCTGTAATTGTGTTTTTACCAGATCTAGTCACTGACTGGCTTTCACATTGTGATTTGAGAGCAAGAACCTGGCAAGATCAGCCAGATTGCAGCAGTCTTCTGGCCTGTGGTTAAAAAAAACCTCCAGAATTTCTGCAATACCCAAGAAGTACAACAGGGTGATAGAATTCCTAATTTTCCCCCTGAATTTCTTGACATTTGATGGCTGAAAATTGCTTTGTCAGTTTATTTCAAAGATCAGTTGGGTTTTAGAGATGATTTGTATGTAAATCTGTAATAGTAGCATTGTGTGTTGGTAACATTTAATCAATCTTAATGAAAGAACAACTTATATTTGCTGAGGAGTATGACATAGTTCTACTGTGAACAATATAAAATAGTTCCTGAAAAGGCACAGGTTTCTGCAATATAGGTGCTAAAAATGGTAAAGCTTTCTGTATATAAAAGGATGCTTTACATTGCCTTTGATTTTCAAGATTCTCTTTTCCTCTGGGATAAGGAAATGGTGCTAGAGGTTACCGTGTTACAGCATATGTCATCATTTTAAAAATCACAACAATATCACTGTTGCAGGTACAGAAAAACATCCAAATGAATTACACAGCATTCCTTTAGGGTGAATTTCATGCCCTGAACAAAATCTGTTTCCGTATCTTCTAGTTCACATCTTACTGCAGTAAAATCAAAATCCCTTCCCCAACAAGATGCTGCATTGAAAAGGAAATACTGTACCTCATAGAGGCTGAGGGAGGAACTGTACAGACAGGGCTTGTCTCCTTACTCTGGAAGGTGTCTGTCTGTCTGTCTGGTCATTACCTGGGTCCTTGCTGAGGCGATGCTCTTTATCTGACTTCTGGTGCTGAGCGTTTCATACTTTGCCCTGATCTCGTTGGGGAGCTGGGCCAGGGCCATTCTCCTCCCATCCTCCACCTTGGCCGCCCGAGCCCGACTGAGGATGCGGCTGCTGCGGCGCCTTCCCTGGCAGCGGGAGAGGGGAGCGGAGACGCGCAAGAGGCTTTTAAAGCGGCAGAGCTCGGTTTTTGAGGAAGCACTGGAAGGGCACGGCTAATGAAGCGAAGATCTGTCACTTTTGCAGCTATTAAAATAATGATTCCTAAATATGTGCTGAAATTAATATATACAATGGCGTTATGGTTTTGTTACACTGAAACCGCTGTGCTGTGTTTTCGGCAAATAACTCTTAATTTTCTGGCTCACTGTAGCTGCTGTATGATCACAATGATCTTGTCTGCTACGACTGGTTCTTACCTATTTTTCAGAGGTTTTTTTTCAGTAACGGGCAGTACCAGATATTTATTAAAATAAGTCAGATCTCAGTAAAAAAATAAGAATTCAGTGAATAGAATGCTTTTTAAGGCTCCAAATAAGAATATACATCAGGAAACTGAGAAGAAAAGGCAGTAGACTGTTACAAGACACTCATCTTTTTAGAAGTCAAAGTATTATACCACTTAAAAGTCTCCTTGTGTGCATAAGGCTTCCTTGTTCTTGGCTCTGTCCACTGGCACATGTAAAAGGATCCTGTGTTCGGGTTTTATTTTTCTTAGCTGGCTGTTTTTCAGCTGACCTGGACTGAGATGAGAATGTTTTGTTGTTCACTGACTTTTCTACAAGTGTCTTAATTATTCTAGTATTAGGTAGTTCTAAACCCAAAACATTGACAGTATTTTTCACTGATGGTATGAGAACAGCCACATAATAGAAACACTAGGGATCTATCAAGCAAGCGTAAGATATTTTACCTTAGGACTCGATAAGCATTAATAGGAAGAGCCTATGTATTTAAGCAAATAAGAACTTGAAATGTTATTGAAAATCTTCCTTTTTCTTTGCATTGCAATGCTGAGTGTTTACATCATGTGTAACATAGAGGCAGGAGGTCACAGTCTTCTCTTCCTTGTCTTATCTGAGAATCACACTAAAATCATCAACATTTCAGCTCGAGAGTGAAGGCTTAGGTGTGAATTGTAAGGGGATTGGATTCTGGTTGATAATTCTGTTTTGGGTGAGATTCCCTTAAACAGTTCATTTGAGTTCATCCAGAAGCCAAATTCAGCAGTGAAGGACCCCCTGTGCTCCCAGCAGAGCACTCCTGTGTGCCCGGGGTGCTGCCTGCTCCCACACCAGGGTGCAATATGTTGTTCTGATTGCAAAAACTTCTCTCTTAAATGGATAGCTTTAAATTATAAGTTAGCAAGTATTCCTTTAATCCCACATTTAAACAGATTTTTAAATGTGTATGTGTTCTTTCATTGGATTAATTTCTTTAAATTAATGGGGAGTACTATAGCACGCACGTAGTATATGGTAAAGGAAAATACCTGATGAAATGGCAAATATGGATCAGGAGCAACAGTCCTAAGTGAAGAATAAAGGGAGACTAATGTCTTAAAGCTTGTGAAGATCTTTTTATTAGTCAAGAAACGAGAAAGTGAGTTTAGAATAGCAGAATTATTTTGTCTATTCATCACTAAAGATTATAAAAAAGCATATCTAATTAAATGCCTAATGTGTGCACCGTGTTTCCAGTTACTAAACAAAGAATTTGAAAGAAACATGGAGTAAATGGATCCTTTGTCAGATCAGATTGTGCCTTATATCTTCTCTTCAACTTCCTTAACATGGGATGCAACAACTTTTCCATCTACCACTTCTTCGACAATTGTCTTGATCTTTCTAGTTTTGGTAGGATCTAAGCGTCATAAAACAAAACAAAACAAAAATTTATCAAAGTGTTAAAAAATATAGAACAGAGCAGCACGCGTACATGAACAGTTACAGTTTTCCTTTCAGACTGGCTTCTTGTGATGAACTCTATGATGTGGTTCAACAGAATAGCATGTGTTATTTTATTGATAAGAATGACTTTAGAAACAAAGTTTTATTCAAATCAAGTTCTACCTACCCTGAGAAGAATCCAGTGATTGTGTTTGTGATTTGGACCCTGTCAAGGATGAACTTTCAAAGGTAACTCCCTGTCCTGTGCCCCTGAAAGTGAACCAGAGACATGCAGCATTGCAGAATGTTTGTCAGGAGCAGGAGAAATTGTATTATTTTAAATACTGAGCAGAATGGTTCATTTTCCACAGGCTGAGTATATCTGGGTGGCTACAGACAATAAACCCAAGGAGTTATGCTATGGAAATTGGTTACTTACGCAAACTCGCCATCCAGCAGGCGGCGATAGGTTTCGATCTCCATTTCCAGGCGAGTCTTGATGTCAAGAAGTTGTTGGTACTCTGCGTTCTGTCGCTCCATGTCAGCTCTGACCTGAAACAGCTGGGACTCCAGATTCCCGATCTGAAGCTGCATTTGTGAGAGCTGAGCACAGTAACCGCCTTCCGTTTCTGCTAAAGTGTCTTCAAGGGATTTTTTCTGCGGAAGAAGGATATTTTATAATCTCTGATTGTGGAAAAAATATTCTTTACAAAGACAAAACCCACTGACATAGTTTAATGGGAGTAAGTATAGTCTCATTACTTAGATATTTTAATTTTTCTTCTTGAAATACCAGTTTGAAAACTGGCCTTTGCTGCTTCACTGGACGTGAACATCAAATTTCATCTGCTTTATAACATGCTACTTGCAATCCAATTATATATATTACTGCTATTTAGGAACTAAAAGAATGCGAGATTTAAAAGGAAATAAATGCAAATCTTAAATCCTAGAGAACAGTACAAGATCTGACAACACTTTTGAAGTTGGAAAATTGACTCTGACTAGTTGGCAGCTTCCTTTGAACACACCATGGCAAGCTGGGATTGCAGTTCAATTTCCAAGCTCTGAAGAGTCCGTTTTAAATCTGTGATCTCACTCTTCCCTGACTGAAGCTGCTCAGTATGGGTGGAGATTTCCCTTTTCAGCTCCCCACTCTGAAATGACAAGGAAGAATAGAGTGTAATGTTAGTGTTCCAAATATTTAACTCATTTTTGCATACATTTCGCTGAATTTGCAAGCTCTGATCATTACCTTTTCATTGAACCACGCTTCAGCCTCTTTACGGTTCTGCTCAGCGATGACCTCGTACTGTCCCCTCATGTCATTCAAGAGCTTGGTCAGGTCAGTTCCCGGAGCAGCATCCATCTCAACGCTGACTTGTCCAAACGTGCTGCTTTGGATGCCCTGAAGCTCCTGGAGAGATCGAAAATAAAGAAAAGTTTCTGTTAATAAGAGGCACCAAAACAAAATACAAATAAATGTATGTGCTATACATTCTGTTTCAACAAGAATAGGCATAGCTTGTGCACGTATTTCGTTCACTTTTTCATTTGGTAAACTCAAGAAAGAACCGCAAAGAAAACAAATAATGAATCCAAGGAGCTCCCTCTGGCATGAATAACGGAATAATTTGATATTTCACAGTTCCGTCTGCCTTCTTATGAATTCACAAAGGGGAAAAAAAAGTACCTCCTCATGATTCTTCTTGAGATAAGCCAGTTCTTCATTCAGGCTTTCAATCTGCATCTCCAGATCAGCTCTAGTCAAGGTCAGCTCATCAAGAACTCTGCGCAGACCATTGATGTCAGCTTCCACGCTCTGGCGAAGAGCCACTTCGTTCTCATATCTGTAGAGAAAGTTGTTAAATATGATTTTTTATGGGGTTAATGAGGTCAAATGCAAACAATTACTATATAGCTTATATAGCTTTTGCTATGAAGTCTTAATACACATAATTATTATAATATTGTTTAACAATTATGTTAAATGGTAGGGATTTTTAAATACAAAATATTTTTTCCTTAAAATACTGGCAAGAGGTTTTGTAATATTAAAATATCCTTACTTCAGTCTGAAATCATCAGCAGCCAGCCTGGCATTATCGATCTGCAGAATGATTCTTGCATTGTCGATTGTTGCATTAATGATCTGCAATACAAACAATGTTCAGAGAATTATTTTATTCCCAAATGGCTTTGCAGCTCAAGGTAGCTATTTACAGAGCTAAATCCTTTACAAATCCTGAGTATGATTATAATATTAAATGTAATTTGTCAGACTCTTGTATAATATACTATGAAAATATATAGGACAGGGTTTTGGCATGCTTCGCTCAATGGTAGAACACCAGCACGATTCTCTGAGTAGAGTTTCTGATCTCTGGAATCTGTCTGGTTCAGGAACTGAGTTTGTGATAGAAGAACTATGAATTTGAACTAAAGAACTAAATTTGAAACCTGGTAATCTACAGGAGTTTGTGGAACTGGATTCCATCACTGCCTTCGTTGTTCAAATGAGACCACACACAGCATTGTGTGATATAGCTACAGAACTGCCACTAATATAGGAGAAAAGTTAAACACATGACACCAGTGCAACGTGGCAGAGGATTATGAAAAGCGTTGGTACTGTAGGATGAATTTGCTCTTGGTTTCTGAAAGGAATCTGTCATTTTTTTCCAAAATATTATTAGCTGAATTACAAATGTAACGACACATTAAGTACATTGCTTTGCTACCTTGTTCCGAAGATCTTCAATTACAGGGTAGTATTTGCTATAGTCATTCCCAGATCCAGGGATACAAGCACCAGGGCCATTTTTCTCGTACCACTCGCGGATTTTGCGCTCCAACTCGGTATTGGCGTCCTCCAGAGATCGCACTTTGTCCAGATAAGCAGCCAGACGGTCATTGAGGTTCTGCATAGTTTCTTTTTTTGAGCCAGAAAGAAGGCCACCATCTACGGCACCAGCAGTGCCAAAACCACCTCCAAAACCAGCTCCTGAGCCACTGCCAAAGCTCCCTCCAAAACCAGTGCCTGAGCTGCTGCCAAAACCACTTCCTAAACCTCCACCAAAACCACCGCCTAAACCTCCACCATAAGCACTGCCTAAGCCACCTCCATAGCCACCACCTAAACCACTACCAAAGCCTCCACCAAAGCCGCTGCTTAAGCTGCTCCCAAAGCCCCCACTGAAGCCAGAGCCGGAGCCAAGCATAGAGGCAGCACCAAAACCTCCGCCAGATCCGCCGCCAAACCCAAGTCCGCTGCCACCGAAGCCTCCTCCACCGCTGGAACTCGACATTCTCAGAGATCCCCCGCCAAGCCCGCTCCGAGAGGAGAACTGCCGGGAGCCCCCGCTGGCGCGCACGGAAAGGGCCATGGCTCAAGATGCCCTGAAGGGTTCTGTTGAGCACACAGCACAGAGCAAGGCACAGAGACCAGCTGAACCTTTATATGGGGAAGGCAGGGGGTGTTTCAGTGGAAGGCCCCACCTCCCAGGGAGATCTTTAATTCCTTCTCTCTCTCTTGATTGGAAGGAAGTCAGTTTGGTCCGTCCTGGCCAAACGAAATGATATGTGCCAATCTAAATTGCCCATGGGAGTGGAAATCTGGTGCCCTCCAGGTATTTGCTGTATGAGGGGAAATGGGTGGAGTGGAGCTCCACATCATGATAATGTTTTGCCATGTGCAATGGAGCACAAACATTTCTTTTTGCATTTAAATCCTTTCTAAATAATTTTTCTGTCATTACATATTCATTGTTTTCTTGGTTTAGGGCTATTATTGTAGAAGTGTGCTTAAGTCAGTGTAATGATCCCTTTCATATTGTACTTCCTGGTGTGCATGTCAAAAATGTGTTTCTTTTCATAATACTTCACTGGCATGAACCTCTGCCAGATGAGCGCTCTCTCGATGTTTAATAAGAAGTAAGAAAAGCGATCAACAAAAGTGTATGAAGAGGCATACGGACAATCAGCCATCTCTGGGTTAGTCATTAATATGAAAACATAAGTATACTTGATTATACCAAACATAATTTGTAATTGTTTTCTGCCCTAAACCTTTCATCGTTGCAATATCTCATGTAATATGCATAGCCTATACCAACAGTTTACACTTTCCAGCTGAAAACTAACTGCTGTTTCTCCTAAATAGTTTGCTATTATGAGCGCTCTCTCGATGTTTAATAAGAAGTAAGAAAAGCGATCAACAAAAGTGTATGAAGAGGCATACGGACAATCAGCCATCTCTGGGTTAGTCATTAATATGAAAACATAAGTATACTTGATTATACCAAACATAATTTGTAATTGTTTTCTGCCCTAAACCTTTCATCGTTGCAATATCTCATGTAATAATGCATAGCCTATACCAACAGTTTATACTTTCCAGCTGAAAGCAGCTAACTGCTGTTTCTTCTAAATACTTTGCTATTGTCTCAAAATAAGGAAAATTATTTCTGTATTTTGTACTTTTGAGAATATAAATCTAAAGATCAAATGTAGCTCCTAGGTTACAGGTTTAGGCATGGCCACCCTTCAAAACCAATATGCTTTTCTTTTGAAGTTATTTTGGTAAAGAGAAAATTGCTTTTTCTTTGTTCTGGCTTAATTATATCACTGGATTTGTCAACTGAAACATAATGACTTTTCATTTATCTCCATCCAGGAGCAGGGCTGCTTTTGGGGCAGAAATTAATGACGAGCAGTAGATCAAAGGCTAAAGTAAAGCATTTATGTCAAAATGAATTGATAGCCCGGTATCAGTGACTCAGGGGTGTGAAAGCAAAGGATTATCTCCTTTGGCAGCTGTTTCTGTACAGGAAATAGCAGCCTGGGCAGGTGAGATTACAAGAGGAAGAGTTTTTTGTGTTTATGTTGTCAAGGGGGAAATGTGGACTCCTTGGCCTGAAGGTCTGGGTATGGCGTAGGAGACTTGGATGCTATGGGCATGAGTATGTGCGGTTT